ACCCCCACATTATAGTGTATTAGATATGAGGACATTGCCTTAGTATCTCCCCTGGGCGTAGTGGGTACAGAAGTAGAGTGACATCAATGTAGCAGAAGTCCGCCACAATATAAACAAAATTACATGCAAGTCACCACTGCCCCTCAGTGCTGGACCTCGTCGCTTTACGTAGAGGAACCGTCGTCCTTCGTTGACAGAAGACAAACTTGCGGTTAAATGTATTAGCTGTATATGGTATAAGTAGGGTAGGTCCCGAAGTGGAGTTGTGTTTGATAGCGAAGCAGGGAAACCAGAAGCTGAGGGCAGCGTGATCTACGTAGTTTTCGCTGTTGCCACATATAACCCTGCATGCCTCATTTTCCCTATATGAACGGTACACGGCTAGGCCTATACGGGTCGTTGTGACTTCGTTATTCAGTCAAGGTCGTTTGTCTGGTTTTGTATTGGCATGGGATTTGGCGCGGTTTTATCAGTGACTTAGAATCGGCCCGAGCGAGTAATCTGCGTGCGTAGAATTTGGTGCAGGTTAAGATGCTCTACAAGAATTTCGCAAGCCCCGAATGTCAGTTGGAAGCAGGGGCAAGGGAAAGATTTTAGTTTTTGACAACCTTATTCCCCCATGTTGCAGTTTTTCCCTCTTGACGACTAGCGTGTCCTCGGTTGGGTTCAAAGACTGTTGTGCTATTCTTTGTTACCGTTTATCATGTGTCGAGCCTGTGCCACAGTCCCCAGGACTTGTGGGTAATAGCAAAACGGTGTAATGAGGGTTTCAGGGTGCCCTGTAGCGTTCTTTCTGGCTTTATTTACAACCAAAGCGAAGCCGCTTAAGTAAGCACTAATCAAACGTTCTTCCAGCATTGCAGTGATGCTGGGCATGCTAGTCGTGTTAAGGGTCATTTATGTCTGGTACTTAGTCTTGTTATTGGATCGTTGTTGTCCTTCATAGATAGCTGAGGGAATGTTGACTTTGGTTCTGCGTTTAGGTTCAATCAACTCGCAGAGCTTTTGGGTATTCTAAGTTTACTTCTAACGATACTGGGCCGGCAATTCAATATGGAGAATTGAAACCTATACGGAATCTGAGTGGAGTTGATTATCCTCCTCCTGTTTGCTGTTGCTTTAGATTATGCTTCAAAGGTTGTTGTCGATAGCAGTGAGCCGAATGTGGTTGAAAATGATCGGCGATGTCACACATTATTTGCAGGTTTGTACCAGTCGATTAATGTTAGTTATCTTTTCTGGGTTAATGTTCAATCCAAATTGTGCGCTTCGGGATGGAGTAAGCGTCCGGCTCCACTAGATGCCGGCTTTTTCGTCGTGCTTATTGGGCAGTCGTCGGTCAAGTGATTTTTGTACCCTGACCTGGCAGCTTTTTCTGATGGTCTACGTACGAGGGATTTTTAATCGATTTACAT